CGCAGATAAGCAGGCTGGTCTGGATCCATGCTGGTCGTAAACACATTATGTTGGTGTTGTCATGGCGCGGCTCATATTATGAGTTATAAAGATAAACATTCAGTGTCTTTGTGCTGTTAGTTTACAGCAAACGAAGTCACGACTATAAAATTTTACTGTACGTTATGATATATACTATACATCTCAATGATAAAGCGTTAGAATCATTTTATTTATTTGGAACAATATTCCATTACAATTGATAAAGAAATAAAATGCCCCACAGTATAACAGAGCGACTAAAATCTAATTTCATAGGTTTTTAATATGATAATAAGTCATGTTTATGAACTCTGTACACATTTACAATTTACTTCTGTAAGTTCTTATTCAGTCCACCTTAAACACCCTATAATATAATTATCTTAATTGGACTAAAATGTCCATGTAAAAATGTCCATAATTCTGTCAAAATCTATGTAAGTGTTATGGGTCTTGGACAGTGACTTATCAAGCTCTCAAATAAGTGTGTAAAGTTTTAAACCCATTCCCTTCAGTAAGTTTTAGTAAGTTACCAACTTGCATGCAAAATCTTAACCAAAAAGTGACAGCGATGCAGACACTAATGCCCAGGTATATACAAATAGCTCTCCCTATTCTCCAAAGAGTCGAGCTAAAAATTGAAGTTATCGACATAAGAAAGTAAACACATTTCTTGGGTGAAATTATATTTCACATTTTGTACATGTACATATAGTTTCACTTGCACATATTGTAATACAAGAAACAAATATAAAAAAAATGTTAGTAAAGAAAGTACATTTGTGTTTATAGGGCTTGTCAATCAGCAGTATCGAAAATGTATAAAAAATATATATATGGAGAAAATAAGAAAAAAATACAAAAAAAATATTTCAGATCATTACTTTACAACAAGTTATGCTATCTCTATATAAAAAATATTGTCACAAAAGAGAAACATATAAAAAATATTCTACAACATCAGATATTTACAAAACTTTACCCTTTAACCTGCTGAATTTCAATATTTTTTTGTTCTTTGTTTATTGTATTAAAGGCCCATTATGCCTCAGAAATGCTATCATTTTCATTTCTCAAAAACCTTTTTTTATTTTATTTTGCATCTTGTTACAGTTTTCATATTTTACTCATTTTCCATACACACAATCTATATTTGGCTGCATTTTGTTCTTTTGGCAATTGGTATAATTAAGTAAATTTGTATTTTGTGTAAAAGTCAAAATACTACTTATATTGACATTTTGCTACTTTAACAACACATTACTTCATCAGTTGTTCAACATCTAACACGCCTTATATCCATTATTAAAAATATTATTAAACACATGTTTGAAATTTCTAAAGAATAATTTTTTTTATTTCTGAGGTATAATGTGCCTTTAAGTACTAATATCAGAGGGTTACGAACAGTATCAAGCTCGGTCAGACTGTGTGGATGTGCAGGTTGGCCTGGCTCTAGACTGGAGCAGGTTACGATTTAAGAATTAATAAAAATCACAATGTTGCAACTCCTGTCATGTTATCTTGTAGAAATTGATATGTAATACATATGTAAACATGATTGTATGTTTGTATCCAATGGTTACAGTATCCAATGGTTATTGTATGGTAAACAATGGTAACGGTAGGCAATGGTTATTGTATGGTATCCAATGGTTATGGTATCAAATGGTTACGGTATCCAATGGTTATGGTATCCAATGGTTATTGTATCCAATGGTTATGGTATCCAATGGTTATGGTATCCAATGGTTATGGTATCCAATGGTTACGGCATCCAATGGTTATGGTATCCAATGGTAACGGTATCCAATGGTTACAGTATCCAATGGTTATGGTATCCAATGGTTACGGTATCCAATGGTTACGGTATCCAATGGTTATTGTATCCAATGGTTATGGTATTCAATGGTTATGGTATCCAATGGTTATGGTATCCAATGGTTATTGTACGGTATCCAATGGTTATGGTATCCAATGGTTACGGCATCCAATGGCTATGTAATCCAATGGTTACAGACTATCCAATGGTTACAGTATCCGATGGTTACGCTATCCACTGGTTATGGTATCCAATGGTTATGGTATCCAATGGTTACAGATTGTATTTTAAATGCCTTCAGTTGTCATGGTATTTGTAGTGCATAAAGTTTATCAGCAGTTATAGAGTAGGATTATTATATGAGAACCTTGACCATTATAAACTTGTATTTGACACATGTGGATATTACGAGGCTCAAATGAGGAGGTAAGGCTGACTCACAAGGCATAGACACACCCAGTGTGATATGTTTTCAGTCTGTAAAACCAACGAGAGCCAATCGGATTAATTTAAATCAGCACCTAACAAAACATAATCCTATAGGCTTTCATATAAGATCGTAACTTAAGTCAGACTGTATGAGACCAAAGACAAGTAATAGAGTTAAGATACTCTTATAATGATCCTTATAATTATATCATACACTCACAATCAAAATAATTATATTATATTCAAAATGAGAAATGTAACAAACATGCCATATCATATATATACATGTATTCATCTATATAGTAATAAGACACACTCTCACCTCTAACAATTAACATCAAAAATGTTATACTCTTTAATATTCAGATCTATAATTTTCTAAATTTCAAAAACAAGGTAAACAATATTATCTATATCAATAAAATGCAAGTCAAAAACACCTTAAAACATTTGCAGAAGAAAAAAAAACAACATTATGATTATTTCTGCAAATCACACAAAATAAAGAAAAAATATGTATATATATAAAAATCATCACAGATTCTATCAAATAATGCTACTGAATTGTAAAAAAAAATAATATAAACACAGATATGTATTAATAATGCTGTTTTGATGATAATGATGTTTATCACATACTCATGCCGATTTTCCCGCTCCATAAAAATGGTACTGCACGTCTGTGCATATTTTTTGACATGACATAATTTGTGTTATACATAAAGATAGTGTAAAGATGGAAATTTGTTAGCGTTACACTGTATGTGAGTCAATGAAAAATTATTCTTTTGCACTTGTAACAGTTTTTATTTTGGGTATATGATAAATAGAATATCATATTTATGTAGGTTTATTACTGAACAGATGCTCGCACAGTATAATTTTATTTAACTGGTTCAATTATATAATTTTATTCAACTTGTCCAATAAATTCAGTATTGAACCTACACTCATTCAATATCCTCTATTTGTTCAAATTTTGGCTAAATAAAAGATGCCAGTATCACACTCCACGAGAAAAAAAATATATTAAATATAAAGTTACATTTCTACACACTTCACATTATTTTCTTATTAAAGCGGCCTTTAGCTTTTCTAAAGGTTAAATGTTATTTTTAGATAAATCATTTCATATAATTGTCAAATAAAAAGAATCAAGGTAACAAATGAACTTTGAAAATTTAAATTAAGTAAACAATACGGAAACCCCTTGATACCTCTAATCTGGTCTGCTTTCTATATATAAATCAGTAGAGCTCAAGACTCCTTTCCCATTCTATTTTTAGAAACGAACGTCAATGGCGTACTATAAATAGCTCTCAGGATGTTATTTTGAGAAGACTTCACAGTCATGTGATGATTTTTTCCAAGATAAAATAACTGAAATACTTAGTGTGAAACAACACAAAATTGTTTTTTTCCTGCAGAAAAAAAAAAGCTTAACGCGGCTTTAAATAGACTGAGAAACGGAGTACATAATAATTCACAAAATAAGAGAAGGAATGTTAGTATGCAATATCACATCATTTATGACGTTATAAATAATAAAAAAAATATATGAAAATTTCTTCTCTACAAAATATAGTTCACAATAAATTTACTGACTCAATTTATATCTACGAACTGTACAATGAAAAAATAGGTCAAGTTGATTTACTTTATATTTATGAACTGTAGAATTAAAAATAAGTTAAGTTGATTTTCTCTCTATTTACAAACTGTATAATGAAAAAAATAATTTAAGTTGATTTACCTTCTATTTATGAACTGTATAATGAAAAAAATAAGTTAGGTTGATTTACTTTCTATTTACAAACTGTAGAACGAAGAAAAAATAAGTGAAGTTCTCTAACATTGTACAATAATGCATGTCTTTGGTGACTATATTACCATGGATCTCATCTCCCAACCCTTAATCTATTTCCTAAAAGACATGGCTTCCATTAAGTTTTGAAATTTGGAAGTCAGAGACTGCAAAATGTCTGACACTGGAAGTCACATTATATAGGTAAAGAAGGAAAAGTATTGTATTTTGGAAATCAAAGGTGAAAATCAAGGAGTAAATGAGTCCCAAACTTCCATTTACAGAAGCCCTGTAACAGGTATGTCATCATACATCCTGGATCATAATAGAAACAAGTGAATTCAAATTTACACTTTTGTGTCATTCTTGGTATATAAATACATGGTACATATTTCATTTTATAAATAACTTAAGACTTTTTTTTAATATCTTTTATAAAAAAATTCAAAATGATAATTATTTTACTGTGATTAAGTTTGTCTTCTTATCAATGGTGAGTGGTCTTCAGGTTTTATTTTATGTTTATATCACAATTAGTTTTTTTATTATCCTTTTTGTTGTTGTTTCATTCATGACAATAATTATGTGATATTGATTCTTGAAATGCCAAGCCATGTATTTATATACTGAAATAAATTATCATTATAAGTATTATTATTATTATAATATCTTAACTTTAATTCAGCTCAATCAAGTTCAAACTGGAACCTACAAGAGCAAAGATATCTTTGATATCAATGTTGATGACTCTTGTATAAAACATGCTTAATTTAACAATAACTTTATCACTTATTATTATTTCTACTTCATTTTTTTCCATTATTAGACTTTCCGATTTTTGATAATTGTTGGACACTTATTACATGTATTAGTTTAACAGATCATATTGGAAGTTATTCACCAGAAATCAACTTACTGCTGCAAACTGTATGTAAACACTTTTTGAAGATATTTATGGCCACAGTGTTTAATAACCCAAACATTTACCCAACTATGAGAGTTGCTTCCCTTTTATATTTCAAACAGTTCACTTGATCTGTAAACTTTGATCTTCAGCTCAATTAACTTTCCTCAATTTATGGATGGCGTCAAATTTGAATCGATTTATCATCAAATGTGAATAAATTGCTGGTTCTAAGTTACAACCAACTGGCAACCTCTTGTATTTCAGCCTATACACATATTTTTCAGGCAGTGAAAACCACTAACTTACATATTTTCAGATGGTGTTGTTTAAATCCGTCAGAGCCCTACATACATGATTCTGTAGTAGAGAGATTTTTCTAAACACCAAGCCGCAGAATTCACACGACATGTCCTTGAGATGAAGTTTTTTATGCGTGTTAAGAGAACTTGACTGTGTAAACCCTTTATTGCATATGCTACACACGTACGGTCTATGCCCGCTGTGTGTTCGGAGATGATATACAAGATGATGCCGCTCTTTGAAGCGTTTCGGACACAGGTTACACGGGTACGGCCGATCTGTGTTTTCGAGATTCAGGTAGTTTTCAAGTTCAGCTTTGCGTTCTTTCAGACTCTTCTGCATATTTGATTTCCTGTTTCGACTAAATAATTTCAATTTGGGTTTGGTTTCTTTCAATGGTGTTACATCATGTATTTTGGATGATCCTAGGTCGGTTATCATATCTGCTGTATCTATCCCTCCATTCTGAAAATGACCTGCTCTCATCTGATCTTCACCTTTAAAATGCAATAAAGGAAAAAAAACTATACCAATCCAATAATGAATCAATGATTTATATCAAAGCAGTATTTTGTTTGTTTTGGGTTTTACGTCACACCGACACAGTATAGGTTATATCGCGACGTTCCAGCTTTAATGGTGGAGGAAGACCTCAGGTGCCCTTTCGTGCATTATTTCAGGCACGAACAGGCACCTGAGTAGAACCACCGACGTTCCTTAAGCTAGATGGATAACTTCCTCACATGAAAGAATCCAAAGTCCCTGTCGGGATTCTAACCCACAGCGGTGAGGGGCAAGTGATTTGAAGTCAACAACCTTAACCACTCGGCCACGGACACCTCCTTTATTAAAGCAATATAACAGAAGTACTAGTACATTGAAATAACCTGCTTTATAATTTAGAGATATACTATCTGTATAAGTGAATATTTGTACCTCACAAAAAGTTTGAAAATGTCCAAAAACAGACTTTTTGTGTGCGAAAATATTTGCGAAAGTACGATTTTCGGAACTCCCATCATATAAGCATTCTTGTGATAACAGCTTTTGTTGGAATGAAGTTAATTCCTACATAGTGTAGTGTGTAAAATAGAAAAATGCTTAAAGAAATATTATGTAAATGTTCAGTTGACATTTTATTATGAACCTTTTTCGTTATTTTTTCACAGTGTGAAATATTAAAAGAACATTAAATAATGCTATACATTTGTTTGTATTTAGAGAGATGGTACTTTTAATTGGTTTTATTAACATAGTAACTGGTGCACCTGTGTAACTTTAAATGATGAAAGGCCACAGAAGACTATACGAAGTTGATGTAACTTTTGCGGGCTCAATTTTTTGCAAATTATTTTGATTTGCAAAACTCACAAATATATATCCATGTCACAAAATTTACCACTCATACAGTAAATTATTTTTTAACAAATTTTAACAGTTCTTACCAGAGAAGTGTTCAGTATCCATGTCAGGTTCATTTTTTTGTCCGGCCACAATCTCATCACATACATTAGCTGCCTCATCTGCTCCCATGTCTGAAGAATCTGTCCCTTCATACACACCATCTGGGCTGTGGTTGTCTACCTGGCTAATCGAGTCAACTGAGTTCTCTGTGTACAAAGACTCAACGCTGCCATCTTTTGTAACCATTAGATTGTCAACATGAACTTGTTTGTTCACCACATCAGTTTTTACTGCAACTTGAGACTGACTGTGGTTTTCTGGGTGCTCACTGTCACTTTGACCTTCCGAGGTCAAGGGGTCAAGGTTACTGGTAGGGTACGAGGTGAACATTGCATCGTAATCTTCAGTACCTGGAGTTATATACTGGAATGTAGGTTCTGTTTTGATTTCTGTTTTGATTGTCTTGCTAGGTTTTCTCCGCCCATGTTCGGCTTTCTGACTGCCTGACCTAGATATACTGGTTGTCAAGGAGACAGGGTATGGTTCAGATCGTGTAGTATTAGGTCGTCTAGCAGACCAGCTTTTTCTAGGTTTTGATTCTTGGAACTCTTTTGTCTGCTTTTGTATTTGATTTCCTAATGAAAGAAAATGAATCATTTTTAACCAACACTCTGAAATGCTATTTTAGTACCATGATGCAATATCAGCATTATGGAATGCTATTTTTAGTAACATTATGCAATATTCAACTTGTCATGCATCATGAAACAGTTGGTGAACATTTTTCATGATCAAGGGGGAAAAATTAAACGCTTTAAATGGGGAAAGTGTCTTCCCCCCAACCTAAAATACATAGGTTTGAGCTCCTAGTGGGGTCACAACCCTTTTCTACAAAAAGGCCCCCCAGTAAATGGGTTTTTCCCCGGAAGTAAACAGACTCAAAAAAAAGCTTCAAAAAAGAGGTCCAAAACTTTAAACCCCCAAATTTTTTTCTATATAAGGATGCCATCATGCCAAAGCCAAATTTTTGCCCTAATTTTGTATTTTCAAAAATACATGTAGGGGCCATTTTGTCTAATTTTTTATCTTTTTAAAAATTAAAAAAAAAGTTTTTTAAAAACCTTTTAAAAAACAGTTTAGTTCTTTTATTTTTTAAGTGAACTAGAACATAGTTGGGCATATGTTTCAAACACAAATATCTATTAACTTGGTTTCATATACATTTTATCTGTTAAAATTAAGGTTGTTTTTGTAAAATTTTTATCTGACCCACCTTATATTCATAAATTATATTTAAATTTTCAAAACATGCAAAAATATGTCTAACTCTGTAACAGAGTAGAACTTTGTTGTTAACAAAGTTATTTATGTCATATTTTACGGAAGACATTCAAAATTTCACCTAGCTTTTTCTAAAACTATAATTCTATTTTACAATTTTGATTTTTTTAAAGAGACATTATGCCTTTAAATTATATAAATTATAATCAATAGCATACAAATAAAAGTCAATAGCTTTAAACTTTCTAACAGATTTCATACATTATTAGTCAATCAAAATCAATTGGAAATATATGGCTTATTCAACATGTCCAGGTTTACTACACAATTTAATTGAGCATGGTATTCTGGTTCAAGCCAGTTGAATATTTCAATATTTAAGCATAAAATAATGAATTACTTTTGAGACAGAATCCTAGGAACTGTGATTTGATTTCATCATGACCTTCGAGAAACGTCTTGCCAAACTCGGAGCCTAGCTGCGTCAATGTACCCTCCTCTAGTGAAGCTGTGATTAGAACAGATTCTTCCCCCGTCTGCTGAGCTAACTGATTTACCTGACAAATATATATAAATATTAATATGGTTAGATTACATGTCTTATAAATAATATGGTTATTATATTACATGCCTTTTCCAAAGTGCCAACACATAGCATACAACCAGACCCATTCCCAATGGAAAATATGCTTTCTCCCCCCCTCCCACCCCACCCCCCAATCTTTAAAATATTCCCAATTAAACTGAAAAATCTTGATATCAAAACTGACAAATTTGCTGGAATTCATTCCAGTATGGTATCACATGTTTCATTATCAAATTTCAAAGTAATTTTTTTATGCTTTGAAATATATTAAAATTTTGCATTGGTTGAAATAAACAATTAGGCACAATTCAAAATACTTTACCCAAACAGCATGAAGGAAATTAAAAAATATATTTCCAAATTAAGCAATTTAGGAAGCAAAATTTCCCAAACTGGGCAAGGTACTTTTCCTGAAGCCTGGATTTGAATCTGATGACTAGTTAATTAGTTCATACATTTTACATGAACTAATGGCAGTTAATATCAAAATATAAGACTTGATAAAGATTATTATTTGTATATGAAGTAATAGGGATAATTATTTAATTTTACCCATGAAATATGGTCCTATATCAGTCAAATATATTTCATATTTTTTAAAAATAAATATGAAATATAAATATGAAAGTGGGCGGAGTCAAAACTCATATTTATTTCAAGGGACTTCTTTCGCCGTTTTGTTTGAAAAATCTGATAAATACAAAACAACTTTTCTGGAATATTGCTTTGAAAACTATCTAGCATGATAGAAAATGGTCTCACTAAGAAAATTAATCCGAACACCAATATCTTTAATTCAGTAGTTAACGCTGTACAGACGTTTAAAGAGTTGTTTACATGACGTCACAATGTAGCGCCAAACAGCGCGTGCTTACGCATAAATTAACTGCGCGCTGTACAATTGCAGTTGGTAGCAAGCAAGGGGATTCGTTTCCATTTTCTTTGATAATGAAATTAAATAAAAAAGTTATTTTTTCGTTTTTCGTGAAATATGGTATTGTGGCCAGACGCCCTTTCCTATGTCTGACCACTCGGGGAATTAGCTTTTAATTGTAACTTCACAATTGCTTTTGAGATTTATATAACAACAAACTTAAATGTCCACATTCAGTTTCTTTTTTTATTCCATATGATTTGCTAAATCTTTTACACCAGTCCACCTTATTATTAATTAACTATTATCTATTACAATATCAAATTAAATCCTTTTATTTCACTTCTAATCTTTCTACTCAATGTATTTTCTTTTTTTATCCTAACCCTCTTAACCTAGACTTAAACCTAAACTGACCTAACTTTCCCCCCAATCTGTATGTCCAAAATTCTATCCAAAAACAAAGTATCTGCCCCCTTTTTGAATTTAATCAATAATAATATATTTCTTATCTTTAATCTGTCTATCATAATTAATAAAACATTATCACATGTGCATTTTGACCATCTTCTAAGTTTTACATCAAGGATTTCACACCTAGTGATATTGCTTTAGAGAAGCTGAAGGAGCAGACCAAAACTAATTTCAGTCTATCCCCCTCAGCTTTCCAAAGAACCAAAATATGTTATTAGATCACACATTAGCATAATATTTTAGGTTGATCATAAACATAAAACAAAATATTGCCTGGCTACAGTATATATTTTCACTCAACATGATAAAATGCCACATATTTTCACTCGCCGTACCGGCTCGTGAAAATATGTGGCATTTTATCATGTTCGTGAAAATATATTCCATATTTCACGCAAACGTAAAAATATCCTCTTAGTATTGATATAAATATAGGCACAAGTTATAGAGTAAACTGTTTAAAAGGTTAATTAGCTCTGCATTAACTTACACCAGTGACAAGGCCAACATAAGATGGCCATGACAATATAGTTTCACTTTTTCTCTCCGAAAGGCGGAGCTAATAAAGAAAATAGTCATAAAATGAGCCGTGTCACGACAAAACCAACATAATGGTTTTGCGACCAGCATGGATCCAGACAAGCCCGCGCAGTCATGATCAGAATCCATGCTGTTCGCTTACAAACCCTATAACAAGTAGTGAAACTGATAGAGCAACAGCATGGATTCTGATCAGACTGCGGCATGGCTTGTCTGGATCCATGCTGGTCGCAAACCCATTATTTTGGTTTTGTCGTGACACGGCCTCAAATATTTTAAAGGAATAGAAAGTTATGAATATGAAAACATATATATGTCATACCAGAGACTGGATCTGATTTTTAAGGACAGCTTTCAGAATGGCTTTATATCCAGGTATCTGCTTGAACACCTCAAGGTCCTGCATGTTTTGAGCCTTTCCTTCTCTCTGTTACAATTACACTCTTACACTTCTCTATAAGACAGGGCACCCAAGTTTATTCTGTCACATTTATAGCTGGAAAAAAAAAAAACAACCAATAATAAGCCTTACTGTGATAAAATATCTTAAATGGACTTGTCCATCTTTCAGTCTACTGTAGAGAAAACTGCTAATTTCTTAAATGCACTTAGTGTCTATTCTAGAAATCGAAAAAACAGGGGGGATTTTTTATCAAAAAAGTGAGAATTTATTTTGTTGATTTTTTTCCCTTCTTTCTCTATGTTAAAAATTTCCCCCCTGCCTCTGAAAAAATAGGGGGGAATTCTCAAAATAAAAAAGTGAATCCCCCCATTCCCCCTCCTAGAATACACACTTTGCCAAACTTTCTCACAGTGATTTATACCTCCCTTTACAGATTATCATCACTGCCTTCGCAGATGTCACATTAGATGAAAGTCACATGAGTAACGTCAAAATTCAAATGTAAATATAGACCGTTACATAAACAAAAGAGCTGTCGGTAGGACAGCAAACGCTCGACCTATTCTTAGTGCTTGATAGTAAAAAAATGCTTGATACAGTTACCTCCTCCTGTTTACAGGTGGGGTTATGATGTTGAACAAGTGTGCAAAGTTTCAAAGCCATATGTCAATGGACTTTGAAAAAATTTGAACTATTACAAAAACTTTAAACGTAAATTCTTAGTCGAAAAAAAGGGGCATTATTCTGTCAAAAATGCTTGATAGAGTTACCTCCTCTTGTCTTCAAGTTGGGGTCATTGATGGGTGAAACAAGTGTGCAAAGTTTCAAAGCCATATTGTCAATGGACTTTGAAAATATTTTGAACTATCACAAAAACTTTAACGTAAATTCTAAGTCGAAAAAAAGGGGCATAATTCTGTCAAAAAAAATTGCTTGTTAGAGTTTACCTCCTCCTGTCTACAGGTTGGGGTCATGATGGTGAACAAGTGTGCAAAGTTTCAAAGCCATATGGGGTCTTATGGACCTTTGGAAAATTTTGAACTATTTGAAAAAAATTTAACATAAGTGGTTTTACGCGGACGCCGACACTGGTCGGGTGACTGCAATAGCTCTACTTATTCTTATCGAATAGTCAAGCTAAAAATCTAACGTCATGTTTCTCTTTCTGTTCTATTTTTAACTTTTCGTACTACGTTTGTTAAAGTAAATACAAAAAATTATCAAAAGTATACAAAAGAATGAAAATTAATTTCAAAAAGCTAAAAAAATATAAAAATATCAGAAATTCTGATATATATCGCACCGTGGTGGCAGAGATTTTAGTACTGATAAGAGGAGATCACTGCGTAGGAGATTGACACTGTGCAGCACAGTCAATTATCCATTTTTCACTGTTAAAAAAAATCCACATGCTCTGGAATTAAGAAAATAATACTCTTTTTTTTTCTCAAAAATCAATAAAAGGCGATTTTCTGACTTTTTTATGGTATAAATGTAACAAAAAAAATATAAGGAAGGAAAGAAAATTTGTTATCAAGGAAGGAAAGAAAATTGTTATTCTTGAATTTTGTATATTGAAATCATGTCAACAATGATGTTCAAATATATACATGTCTTGGCTGGACCGCAAGTATTTTTAACATTATAATTTTACCAAATAATAAATTTTTGTATATTTATGTTTCTCTACAAAATCACTCAAGATTACTTCTAGGGTTAAGTTATGGGTTAGAGTGTAGAGGTTATGGGGCAGGGTGTTCACTAGCCATGAAATATTGAGGGTGATTTTGACCATTTTCACCGACTGCAAGGCCAAATCCTATTGATTGTAACAAAATTTGACCCTCCAGTTAAAATCTTGAGGGTCAAAGCTGGCCTTTTGGAAATTTGAAGGGTCAAAGAGTTATTTCAAGGGTCAAATGGACACCCTGGTTATGGGTTAGGGTTTTAAAACTTGGATTTTGCTGCAGACAGATTCTAAAAGTGCTCCCATTTCTGTACTCTTAAGCTGTTAGCACAAATACGTCATATGGTTCTTCTGTAGGTCCTACATTTAAGTGTCAACCATAGCTGACATTGCTCAATGTCATTGATGTTTTGCATAAATTTAGGCAATTTTAAAAAGAAAAGTTCTCAAAACAAAATTTTCACTTTCTGCTTTTCACCCGGAACTTTTAATGGCAAACTGAAATCGCGAGAAAATACTATGGGGATTTTTAGTGGAAAAAAACCCCGACTGGTAAAAAAAAACAAAGCAATCCCCGGGGGAAAATCACAGAGATTCGCCGTGATATATCGCATATAAATGTTAATGTTCATGTACAATGTAGTCTTGTTAGAAAAATTCAATTACACTTATCTATTGCTTTAACAGAAGTATCATCATACATAATATCTTATGTCTAAAAATTGGTAGTTTTAAATTATTATTAATATCCAACATTTTTTTTTTACTTTTGAGCAATAATTAAACATGTATAATCGTTTCTTGGCAAAAATAAATGATAGTTTAAACATTTTTTCCTGATATTATAAAAAGGATGGAAGTCAATTGAGTTGTCAGCACTTTTTTGATGATTCAGCAACAATAACAGGTGTGTAAACATCAAAGATTGACAATTTCTTTAGAAGACCAGACTGTCATTTGTCAGAGGTCATCTCATGTGTAAATTTTGTGTATATTATTTTATGGAAACATTATATTCAGCGATTTTTTCCCTATATTAGTGGTATCGAATAACGACCCATTCACAAACGGACCTTCATAATTTTCAGACTGGGTCCCACGGAGCCGTTCACAATTCTGATAAAATTTCACAATTCTGATTAATTAAGCCTTTAATAACGTATTTTTTCCTCTCTTCTCATATTTGATGCTAAAATTTTTGCCTGTTGTGCTTTGTTATCTTAAAATGCGTTTAGCAAACATTGATTTCCGGTGCTTTGGCCCTTTAAATTTTCGAACTGTTTAAATACGAAACTTCTAGGGACGAATCAATACTGAAACAAGCGTCTGGTAATTTCTGTAAACATCATTCAAAATGTCTCGTAACAGTAAATATTACCTTAAAAAAAAATATAAGTTCTTACTGCTTAATAAGATATTAACAATAATAACAATCTTAATTAAAAAATTCACAATTTGTTAAGAAACAATGCTTTTTTTCACAATTTTTATGGTACCGGACCCATTCAAAATTCAGGGAAAAAATTGCTAATATTTCTTCTATTTATGGATGCTACTTTTTGTGCCAGTGTTTCTATGCTTTAGTGCTATGGAACTTCAACCATTGGCGATGAATTTCGGTAACATTTTTAAAACAGACATGCAAATAGCCGCCATCCAGAAATTTTAGGAGAAAAATCTTGCATATATGACTATGTTATTTCTACAGACACAAGTAAATACGTGTAATAAATTGATTAATGGTCACCCCGAGAGGGCAAAATGTCCCTGCTATATTTCACAGTGTTCCACATGACGATATTCAGCAGCGAGGATTTCAAACGATCGGGTGTTGAGCCAAAAGTCACAACTATTGCAGGGATGTCCCAGTGACAATCCACCCATAAAAAAAAATCGCAGGGATCCGCAGACTTTGGAAAAATTGTTAAAGGCTAAAGCTGTAGTAATTTGATATTCAAATGGTAATAATGTTGTTGAAATAAAAAATAGGAAGTGGCTAGCCGTACGGGCCCGTACGGCTAGCCAAAAGTTCTAGCCGTATGTGAGTCACGTACGACTAGCCTTGACACACTGTATTGGCTAGCCGTACGGCACTTTTCAAAAATATATGGAAGTCGAAAATGCATATGTTATTTTGTGTTTTTAAACGACGATTTTAATCAAATCTCCGCATTTGTCCTAGTTTGTTCAATTTAATAAAGATGCTTCGCAATTTTGCCAAAAAAAAAAATGAATACGTAAGTAAGCGTTGTATAATCTATCTTAATAAAATTAAGTGTCAAAGTTGCATGTTATAACGTCCTTAATTTTCATGCTTATGATTTGTATGAAAGATGAATTTTTAAATCTGTTAATTAAGCACATGGATCGAATAAATAATGATCGGAGGGGAATAATTAAATAAATAAAAAGAATATTAGAAAAAACGGTGAAAAGGAAAAATAATTTAATAATGCAAACTTTCCATAATGATGGACGATGGACAAACTTCTATACCGACGGTAATTGACGCAATTATCAGAGCCCAACAACAATTATTTTCGGTGTTTTTTTTGTTTTTGTTGTTTTTTTTTTTCAATTTAAAAATTAAACATAATGAAACAAAAAAGGATTATTATCAAAATTTTGTAAACTATTTCAATTGATGTTATTTAACTGCAACCAAATGCTATTTTTTCTCGACGTCTTGAGATGACAAAGTACATTCTTTACTATAGTCAACGCGTCGATTAATCTCTAAAAAGTAAACATTCTTGACTAAAATTCTCGCGTTAAGTCATAATTAACATATGCACTTCCGCCTTCCATATATTTTTGAAAAGTGCCGTACGGCTAGCCAATACAGTGTGTCCTGGCTAGTCGTACGTGACTCACGTACGGCTAGAACTTTTGGCTAGCCGTACGGGCCCGTACGGCTAGCCACTTCCTAAAAAATATAAATAATGCACATGAATTAATTGCGAATCAATGCAACATTTAACAAAAGTGTGAGCGCAGTTTCAGAATCTGTTTGCAGCCAGCAAAAATCAATTGTTTTAAAAACCCATACTCTAAACTGAAACACACTAACCCTAACCCATAACACCAGCAGTAATCTGATTAATTTTGTAGATAAACATAAATAATGAAGAAAATTAGAATGTTTACTGTTTTCGAAGCCAGAACTGCATATATCATTGTTTAATTTGTAACAATGCATGTCGTTTACACACTACACAGGTAAACAACAGTTGACAAAAATTTTTTCACTGTTTATAGCCAAAATTATAACTTATTGTCAAACGTTAACACACAATGTCATTCAATGTAACATACTCCAGAAAAATGGCACACATTCCAATCAACATTACCTTAAAACCATGGAAAAGCTTCTTTGCATCTGTATAAATTCATAGCATGCAACAAGAATTTACTTGTTTTCAATTCACAATAACCCTCCTTTTTGAAGAGTGCGTGAAATAGTTTCGTCCTCAATATATTTCGACCCATAGAGTATATTCAATAAGAGAATATGACTATAAAATCGAGGTGATTTAACTCATGGCTTAACTTATAACAGCGAGATGTTGTCGTATAGAAGATTCTTTAAATCTCGTGAAGGCAAAGGGCTACCTGGAGACCATAGAACGTACAGGTGCACAAGCGTTTCAATGGTCAAAGGGGGTTTCCTAGCAGTTTTCGGTCACAGGCCTGCACGAGTATCGGACTTAGGAAGAAAATATGACGACATTGATAAAAAACCTCTGTATTCATCTAAAATGTGTCAAAAACCAAAAGAAAAAAGTGAAATATGAGTCTCCTTAAAAATATACTGGGGCTCATATTTCACTTCTTTGTTTTTTTTTGGGGTGGGTGGGGGGCAGGGGGTTGACACATTTTTAGACAAATACAGAGGGTTTTTTTTATCAATGTGGTAATATTTTCTTCCCAGGTCCGATACTCGTGCCTGTGTTTCAGGCCTCAAATCGCACTTTTTTAACAACAACAAAAAAAAACTGATTATTACAAAACTTTGATAGCTTAAGGTCTTCAGCGTACCCGTTTATAACATGACGTGAACCGCATCTGATGAAAAAAAAAAATGTTAAAAAGCGGCTTATAAAGTTTTAGAAGCCAGAACTAAAACTTTGATAGTTCTAACAAAGTTAGATACCTGCCCAGCATAGTTTCAATGTTGCTCCTTTACTTTACTTTTTAATTGGAATACTGTATATATGTAGGCTTGAATATTACAACTTTTCTCAATTTTATGCAAAACTTCCTAGCAGTTTTCCGGACTTTTTTATTTTTGATATAATTCATTATCAGTAAGATCTGTTAAGATGATTTTATCAAAGAATTAAATAGACCTTTCCAACCTTTTACGTGTCGCCTGCAAATATATTGCAAAAAGTATTGATTGCCTGGAAATGGGTATCAGTTATTGCGCATAGTTGTATTAGAAACTTGAATTCCCCAGGTGTTGCTTATTATTTAATGTCGCTAGTTCTAATTAAAGAACAGGAAAAAACATGTAAATCGCTGTACTATTTTAACTGCTGTATTACATAAAAACAAATGTCTCTCTGATTTGCTGAAGTAACATATAGATGCCCTACTGGTAAAAATAACCTGTTCTGGATGAAAAAGATAAAGGGCCGGAAAACTGCGCATGTTATAGGGACCGGAAACTGCAAGAAAACCATTACAATAAATGGTAAGATATCTACGTTTAATCTTGAACAAAAAAAGAAATCTTACTTCTTTGAGTTATGTTATGCCAATTAACCAACAATAATCAACGAACTTTTTTATTTTCATAGCAGCTTTATATTTGATATAGCTAGAGCTCTAACATGAAATATACGACAGGACAATAATACTGCGTTTAGATAGCCTTCAAATACATGTGCGTAGATCTTTTTTGAAAATAATCAGAAGTTTCTTGAGTCATAGATTAATTAAATCAGATTAATCAACGTATCAGTCTAACGTCATATAATCCTAGCGCTTGTGGTTTTTAGAATGTCTCACAGAAAATGTTCTTGAAAAGCTCCAAGTAAAGTTTTTTCCTTGAATGAAGGGAACGTGTTACAAATTGTATTTTTGTAATTTTTTTAATGGCGTAAGCCGTTCTACACACTCCGACCCTCACACCAGTACGTGATCTCAGTGAAGTTTAATAAATTTGTTCGTATATTTAGTGGAAATCGGATTGCACCTAGGATTTAAACACAGCTGCATCATGTGGTATAATGAAAACGTGAAACATCCCTAACGCTCCCTGGTACCGGCCTGAGCAGTACTCAATTTTCAACACATCAATGATCCCGAATGACCTGAAAAAATATAACAACACTGTTCAAAGTGAAGTACGTACGGGGAAATTTTTACAGCTGCCACACGGTACTTGACACCTGCTGTTGTGAAGTATAAAAGCTTTAATTATGAACTGACGGCGCACTATCCTCCAAAATCTAAAATGACTTATAAGTACTCTTCTGGAGGACTCGCCCATTTTGGCAACTGGTTGCGAGTATAAATAAACGCAAATACACACGAAAAAGTGCAGGTAACTTTCGTTGTGATTGATAATGAAATCCTTTCTATGGTCATCCGCACTGTACCTCTGCCCTTGCGTGTACAAAATTAACCAGTTCATTGCGATATTTCAGATCTATTTTAAATACAGTATAATCCCTAGTTAAGACCAACTCGGATTTAAGACCACCCCGCTATTATAAGACCATTATTTAAAAGAACGGAATTTTCTGTTCTTTATGTCCATAGTTACATCCTCCAGAATAAGACTTACACTTAAAATTTGTTTGTACATAGCATGCAGTGTGTTCCGTACCATTTCAACATAACTATGAAACTATGCTAAAACATCACTGCATTCACTAGATACTTTGGACATAGTCAGTTTATCAGTGTTCTAAGAAACAGTGAAAAAGAACGGACGACTTGCTAGAAATCGCTTGTTGTGATAAATGAGTGTGTATCGTTCCCCTTGGCCCCGGTAATGAAAACAAATCGATCAAATTCGATGGAATAATAGCAAAGTTATCAATTAAAAACATAACTGAATCGGCGAAAAATCGGCATGTACCGTATCCGAAATGTCACGTGGTATGGTCACATTGGAAAGTGAAGGTACTGATAAACTGCTGGCTGAACTGTGCTCTGGTAAATTCAATGTGGCTGATTGTCGTGACCCGGAGTGAAAACTACCAACACCACCATCACATTATTCTTGTTTATGATGTGTTAAAATGGTGTCAAATTTTGCATCATATTGTTATTACTTGAAGTGTGATAACTTTACCCGTGCATGGAGCTAAATCTGTGCTCCATGCATGTATAACGACTACATTTGTATCCCCAATCCAGTGATTGATCTTCTACATGTACATTCAACCTCAGCAATACTGTGTTCTATGTGACCACGGTTTTAATTATTATAATTAAAGCCACGGATATAAATATACTGAGTATAGCCGTGTTAAAGCCGTGGAATGACGTTATATAGCATAATTATATAGAATATATGTAAGGTACGTACTTATAATTATCACCGAAAGAAAATATTTGAATGTATAGATAATGATGTACGACAAGGACAGCCAAATTTTAACATGCAAAGAGGTATTTCGAGGTATTTCGACTTCCATACAAAATTCTAAGACATTGCTTTTCGCCATTTGAATAAGCTATATTGAGTTAATGCCTTGCTTGGACTTTTAAAAAATATGTCCCAGACTTGATTAATTTGCCGTTTGTTCTGCCTAGTTTTTGATCAGCTTTATTTTTCTCTCTTGATATTTTATATAATAATCAAACAACTCTTTTATTCTATATTTTTTTCTAAAAACAAAAAACAAATGAAATTATATAACATAAATCTACGATCGCAACTAATCGGCCCTTTCCGTCAGTCTTCGGATTATAGATAATAGCCGAGACAGTTCCGAATGGTCAACTAGGGTATATCGATAGTTTCTGATGATTAACAGAGTTGGCTCCCCTTTTTAAATTGTGCCATTTGTTAGTATTTTTGTTTTCGTCAATAAGGCAACAAATAAACTGTGTGATAAAGGTTTCAATGTGATGACAACGCATAAATTTGTGACAAACTCAGTTAATAATGTCAAATATTTATGCATTGTTACGGAGGCTTTTAGATTCAATCTACTTCTAAATTTAGAGATCTAAACAGCTAAAGTGAAGTTTTGTAGTTTAAACAGCAGTGAACAGTGTTAAATGAATGACAAGCCGCATTCCCTAAGAAGTTTTGAAATGTATTTCACTTTAAAATTTAAGGAAATAACTTCAGATAGAAAACATTCTGAGCAACTAATGAGTCAAAATATATTGACGCGCTAAAGCTAGATTCTGATTATGTTTGTTCTGGGAAAGAATCTCGCTTCTATGGAGTGAAGATATACACAAACTAGCACAATATTTCATTGTGCTGTACAATTGTTTGGACTAATCAGTTTATTAACAGTCATCAAATTTAGCACTGGCCTGATGGCCCATGGCCTGTGAAAATTATTTCGGGCCAGTGAAAATTTTAAGAAAATTTAGTTAAATATATACAGTAGTAGAATCAATTCAAAACTGGAATTCGGGCTAGTAAATTCAAAATCTTAAATTCATGGACTGTATTAACTATGAGTAAATATTGTTGCTGTAACAGGAAACCAGATACCCATATAGAAATTGAAAAACAACTCGAAAGAGACAGGAAGACTAGAAAAAAGGAAATTGAAATTATATTTTTTGGTAAATACCAGATCAACATGTATATAAATTACTCTTTATTGTAACACACCTAAAGGTGATAGAATGGAAAGAAAATATGTATTTGAAGAGAGATTGTGAAATATTTGTAGTCTGTACAATTTGGTAGCATTATCTTTTAAAGACATGCTGCTTTATCTACAAGATGCTTCTTGTTTCGAATGTATAAATTACTAGAACAACCCTTTCACTGTTACAATGTTATTTGTTAAAGGGAGGTAATCACTGAAAAAAAATTGACAAATGATTGATGCAGTTATTTGCTCTTATATGATATTCACAATATCAGCACACACATTGTGTCAGACCTCATTGTCACTTTCTCATGGTCAAAATAGTAAAAATGCTGTCGAGTATGTACTTCTTCGATATAATTGTGTAATCTTATCAAAATGTCACAGGGTGAGAAAAATGTGCAGCCTGACTGGGACTCGAACCCGGGACCCTCAGAATACTGTTTCGTGGCTCTATTGACTGACTATCTGGCCACTTACACATCTGCTCCCCTAGATAATGAACAGTTTGGAACCGTGACATAATCCCCTGCTATATTGAAATTCGTCCTTGAATTTCTCAGGGTTACAAAGCATTGCAGTCTTGGTCCCCTGTTGGGCGCCAAATTTCACAGGGTGAGAAAAATAAGCAGCTTGATAGGGTCTTGAACTTGGACCCCTGGAAAACATTCCACAGTTTTACCGACTGAGCTCTCCGGCCGCTTTAAAATACACATCTCTCCCTTAATAAGTGAACAGTTCTGAAATGTGACAAATATTGACAGAGAGTGCAATGAATATCATACTTTAAGAATAATTTCCATTTTGTAGATCTAATTTTAATTTTCCTTTCTTTTACAGGAAAAACCGGCAGTGGAAAAACCACACTCTTTAGACAGTTACAAATGATATATGGAGATGAATATTCAGATGATGAGGTTGGCTATTTCAAACGTCATGTTTATAAGGACATTGTACACACCATTCAGGCATTGATTAATTCAATGAAGGTACTTGACATACAATTTCAAGATGATCAAAATCTGGTAAGAAAATCTGATGATTTTTTTGTTTGTTTGTTTCATTGGGTGTATATAGAAGATACTTGTACTGTTCTGTGACTGCAACTTTTCTTTGATTTTAGAAACTACTAAAGCAATAATATCAGATTGATATATGTTCAAATTGTAAAATGCTGACAATATGCATTAGGGCACTTCATGATTGAGTTCCTGTGAAACATGAACATTTAAAACCTGGTTTTGTTGCATTGTGTTTTTGTTTGTTTAACTCACTTAATGTTTTACTCACTCATATTACAGGAGATGGCCAGGCAGGTGCATTCTGTGAACACATTTTATATGAAGACAATATCAGAAGAACTTGCCAATGCTATAAAACGGTTGTGGAATGATAGAGGTGTACAGACTTGTTTAGAAAGTGGGAAGGTTTCTGTGTCTGACTCAGCTATATAGTATGTAAAATTTAGGTGACAAGATGTGAATATATATATGAGCCGCGCCATGACAAAACCAACATAGTGACCAGCATGGATCCAGACCTGCCTTCGCATCGGCTAAGTCTGATCAAGATCCATGCTTTTGCTATCAGTTTCTCTACTTGTAATAGGGTTTGTAAGCGAACAGCATGGATCCTGATAAGACTGAGCGGATAGGCAGGCTGGTTGCATCTATGCTGGTCGCGTGCATGTAAGGCTGCCACGGTTACAATTTTTTGTAAATGTTTACACGCTTGCTAAAAAACCGAAAAGATACTGTTTAATTTTTATGTAATATTCTATACCATGTATTTTAGTTGCCAAATGATGACTTACTTTTTATTTTATGCATGTACAAAAAAATAATGTTCAGGGCTCATTGCAAGGGAATTGGCACATATTTACTGCATTCCCCATTACACTCTTTTGAAAGATCAAAGGAAAATCAAGTATACCAAAAATGTATTATGTCAAGAGTGATTATGGCACAAAGATGCTGTGTGGAGGGTTCTGTTTTCTGTTTTTGTCCCCTGCCTTTTTGAAGAAAAAAAGTGGGATATAGAAAGTCCGTCCATCCAGCTGTCTGTCCATCCACACACACAGGACATAACATTTGAATATCTGGCATAGATCACATAGATGAGTCACTTACTATGGAAAGAATTGGAGATACTCCAAATAAATTGATATCATGTTTTTGCTATTCTCATCCCGATTTTGATGTAAAGCATTGCAACATTTTTCAATTTTGGATTATTTTTCACCATTGTATATTAATTATTCTGGAAAAAACGATGAGAGCAAATGATCTGAAATTTTGTATACAAGTTACGATAAGTCTAGGCCTACAATAAATGAAACATATTAAAATCTTGAAAAATTGTTTTCAGTCCTGAGTCACGAGAAAAAATATGAGTGGAGTCCCTTTAAAGAAAGAATTTATTTACATTCAAAGCTGGGCAAAATCCATTTGTCAAAGTCAGCTGGCTTATACAATGTAGTTGAATTTAAATATTGTTACAGAATACAAAAAAGGATTTGATATATTTACATTTACAGTTTTCTGAATAAAATGGATAGAGTTTTTGAATCTGGTTACTCACCATCTAAACAAGACATTGTGAGAGTTTTCATACCAACTACTGGTATACAGGAATATGTTTTTGAACAGGAAGGCCATTTGTTCAGGTAAATTTATGTAATATTTGTACAATTGCAGCTTCAAGTTTGGTAACTCTTAATTGCATTTTGGTGTGATTGCCTCCCTTAGATTGTCACATTGTGTATGTTCTAAACTATTTCCTTGAGAGTAATGAATGTTTGTGAGGTAGGTATACATGTAGTTGTTGGCCAATTTTGTAGAGCCAAGATTCAAAGTTAATTTTAGGTAAAAGATAAGTTTTCGAAAGCTTTTTAAATTTTGTCTATAGACTGCATATATATAAATGAAGGTTCAAGTTTTAAAGTGGCAATGGGAATTCCGCCATGACTGTAACAAAACCTCCATTCGTAATTCAATCTGTCTAATTATTTATTATGTTATATTGTAGAATTACAGAAATGGGAGGCTTCAACTTGCACACGTTCCGTTGTAGAAAACTTTTGTTTCAGTTTATACAAACTATTCATGGAATATTTTATGTAGCAGATATAAGTGTGTTTGAGAAAACAGTGGAGGGTTCAGACGCTGAAGTGAGTATAGAATGTTCCTTATTTGTCATGTATGCTCTATATTTTCTTAGTTCAAGGCTACATTATTAATCAACCATAACACACATCTACATGTTCAGCAATTAAAGCATGACCTTGACTTATTTTGAACTTGACTGTCAATTATTGAAACATGTTTAAATTGCCATAAATTTGTTATTATTATGGATTTGGACCATTTTGGATGAATCAAAACATATGACAAAACAAACATCTTGATTAATTCAAATATTAACTTGACCTTTGATTGACCTTGACTATCAAAGTCAAATTATTGAATTTTGCTTAAATTGTCATAACTTTGTTATTTATTTACAGGTTTGATTTTTATTTGGACAAAATAACACATATGACCAAACCGACACGTTGAATTATTCTGATATATCCTTGATCTTTAATTTACTTTGACTGCCTAGGTCTTGTTTAAATTTGCTAAAATTTGCCATAATTTTGTTATTTATTTCTGGATTTGACTCATTCAAAAGAACACTGATCAAATGTGACCTTTGGGTGACCTTGACCATCAAGGTCAAATATGAATTTTATATTAAACATTTGTATATCATTATAATTATGTTTTGTACAAGAAAATAATGTTTTGTAGGCTTCCTCCTATGTGTTTGACTTAAGAAATATGAAAAATGAGTGGGTCTGGCTCAGGGTTGGCTCTTATATGCTTGAATGTTCATGGGGGTACTGTTAAACTTTAGCAGATGGATGGATGGACAGTCAGTCATAGGATCCTTGTCCAGAGCATATCATCTACATCTATAGAGGGATTTTAGTATCACTTTATTCAAATGTTCACCAGCATGAGACATAGTTGCATACATAAAGAAGATCTTTAAGTTAAAGTTTATGGTCAGAGAATAATGTTTTCATGGAACAAAATTTTTACATGAATTCAGGGGTTTTGATGTACGTGCAACTTTTCACCAATGTTTACCATTAGTTTAAACAGTAATTATTTCATATACTGCAAACTTGTATCATAGTTTCGGGACCTTTCTGTTGAAAAAGTGTCAGAGTTAAATCGTATACATATTATACACGCACAGTGCGTTAACTGGAGTGCAGGTAATAGTTAACATCAAACACTCGGGGGGGGGGGGGGGGGGGGGGGGGGATGGGGGGGTGGGGTGTGGTTGGGCAATGCCCACTCCTACAAATCAGATAGCCTCGTGTTTCAATGCTTCGATACCCTTTCTACAAATTCAATTATGATACAACAACATTAAATAAAATAATGCATGTATTGTTAACCATTGCAAGGTGGAAAATTTTATGCAATTCTTATAGCCAAGGTCAAGGTCACACTCAAAGATCATGTAGACTGATAATATATGTGTATATGATTATTAAATTAGTCATCCTGAATTGAGGGATACTTATTCATACCAATGTTTACTGTTATGAAACGATGCCATGCATTTTTTGATGAGTGTACTTTTGACTATTGCACTTTTGCTCTTGGTAATTAAGCAAAGATTATGTTTCAGTCCAAACAAGAGCTTTCTGATATTTTGAAAAAAGGAGATATTGTAAGTATTTGATAAAGTATATTTAATTGCATTGGTATAGCTAGTGGAGATAGCCTTGCATTGCTGTAATGTTTTGCGAGACTTCAAAAAAATTGTATTTCTATGTTTCAGAATGAAGTTGTAGAGGCAGTGAATTTGTTTAAATTAGTGGTGTTACACCCATGGGTATCTAGAACAAATGTTGTATTGTTTCTGAACAAGATTGACCTTTTCAAAGAAAAACTTATAAAGTACAACATTCATGACCACTTTCCGGAATATACTGGTAAGATAATTCATATAAAAAATTGTAGAGTATTATATCCATGGGCTGAAACAAAACTCACAAAAAGTCGTTTTGACACTCATTTCTTTGGGCTCAAACAGAACCCCCAACAAATATTTTGACACTCATTCCCATGGGCTCAAAACAGAATAACATAATTGAGTCGTGTCATGACAAAACCAGCATAATGCATTTGCAACTAGCATGGATCCAGACCAGCCTGTGCATCCGTGTAGTCTGATCAGGATCCATGCTGTTTGCTTACCAACCCTATAACAAGTGGAGGCTTACCAACCCTATAAGAAGTGGAGAAACTGATAGCGAACAGCATGGATCCTGATCAGACGGCATGGATGCGCAGGCTGATCTGGATCCATGCTGGTCGCAAACACACTATGTTGGTTTTGTCGTGACGTGGCTCATATTATTTTGACACTCATTTCTATTGGTTCAAACAGAACCCCCAACAGGTTATTTTTACGCACATTTCTAAGGGCTCAAACAGAACCCCTAACCAAATATTTTGACACTCATTTCTATGGGCAATAACAGAACCCCCAACAAATCATTTTGACACTATGTACATGTATATCTATAAATATAAGATATGTGCCTGTTTGTTAAATTAATTGACAATATTGCATTACATATTGATCCACCTTCGACCACTTCATGTATTTAATAAATGTCCGCTTTACCTTTGATGTTATGATATATTATAATTGAGATTGTTTTCTTCTGATTGCTATTCTAATATCTTAAAGGAACTCCACTGAGGTTAAAAAGCTTGAAATATATTTGTCTCTTTTAGTTTCATAGGTCAGCTTGTTCACTTAAAATAAATAGAGCGATAAGGAAAAGGTTAAGTTAAGAATTATACTAGGTATAAATTGAAAATCATATTTTTGTGCTACTCTTACCTCGATTTGTGAGAAAAGCGTTGCAACACTTAAATTTGGATTATTTTCACAATTAGAATAATTATTCTGGGAAAAAAACAGCAAATTATCTGAAATTTCGCACATTGGTTATTGGTCTTTATCAAATGGAACATTTATCATGAATAATATTTCCAGTCCTGGTATGTAAAAAACCTCAGTGGAGTCCCTTTAAACTATGTAATTACTGTCATGAATGTAGTGTAGCAGTCATTGAATAAAAATCAACAACAACAACAAAAACAATGCAACAGTTTCAGTGCAATTCAAATAATCTAATGTTATATATTTTAGGGAAAACAATTGTTTAATACTAAAACAAAACGACATTGACTTTCTTCAATAAAAGATTAAATGTTGATTTATATATATGTTGATATGCATATAGATGAAATAACAGTATTTAAGAAATAACAAACTCCATATTTTTAATGTCTTCGGTAGCACTTTCAATGCTTTCTTAGCATATCTTTAGCCGGAATTTAAACAAACAAAAATAAACACATAAACAAATGACTGTTATGTCATGAAAACAAATGCGGCAAATGCAATTTCGGTACATTGTAGTTTATAAAATACCGATAATATAATAATGCGGACAGTTAACATTATCGGCAAACATAATAATATTGATAGTTTATACCATAAATTTGATATTATGGACATATTGCATTATCGGTACAATCTGGCAGTGAATTAATGATAAGGGTGGGTAGGTTTTGGGTAATAAAGTTAACATGTTACTTAAATATGTTGATATGTATATATTTGAAACAGGACCCGACAATGATGTAGAGGCTGGTTGTCATTTCATGAAGAATTTGTTTCTTGCCGTACAAGCCGAGGAAAATAGACCAATATATCCCCATTTCACATGCGCCATTGGTAGGTTGCCATCATAACTTATGATATTAATATCTTTGTTTGATCAAGTTTATCACGGCATACTTAAAATTTGATTTAACCGCTTTTAATAATTTGTATGTTTGTTACTGTGGTTGGTTACATCCTCATTGGCTTTTATAGATAACTTGTTAGTAATTACCAATTTTCCAAAAATGACATAGAGGATATTTGTTTGTTTGTGTGTAAGATGAAATTTTATTTCATCGAGTGGGCTTTAAAAACAGTATTCTCACGAGTGGCGAAGCCAAGAGTGAGAATACTGTTTTTAAAGTTCACGAGATGAAATAAAATTACATCTTACACAACAAACAGACAAATTTTCTTTTTATTTTATGCTTAAAAACAAGTTAAATCGAAATTTCCATAATTTTAACGTTAATATTAAAACTGTTTCCCCCATTGAGAGCCCCATTTATTCGGAATTTCTCATTAAAAAAAAGAAGTCTTGAGCTGAAAAATAAGTCCGCCAATCAACATTAACCCTTTCCCCCATGAGCATATTGTGAAAAATGGCCATTTTCACTGAAAAGCCTCCTCTAACAAGTTCAAACTGCTATGAAACTATGAGAAATGCTTCAATACTAATCAAACTTGGCACAAATGTTGACTGGACCATTGCCTTTGTAACGACATGCTCAGTCTTAAATTTCCTGTTACCATGGCAACGAGGGGACATCTCAAAATTGCCAAAAATCACTTTTTTGCCTCGATTTTTTCCATCAAAATTTACTTCAAAGTGCTGCAACTTCTCAAGGGATTGAGATAGAGTCAAAGGCTTTTCAGCGTTGGTTACACGTTACCTTATGACCAACCTGGGTTCATTTTAAGCCTCTCAAAAGTCCAAAATTTTCTTGGCGATGAGGGGGACTCCGCCCCCCTTCAAACCCCCAAACAGAAGGGGGCACATCCCCCTTCTGGCAACCCCCTGATGTATTATTTGGATGGGGGACGGCGCCGAAAAAATGGTCACTTTTTTTTACAACATTTCTCAAACGAAAAACAGTGTTTGGGGTCTAAATAGGACATTTTTTTCACTGTTTGAGGCCTCAAAAGGGGGGGGGGGTCAAAAAGCCGTCGAAACACGCTTATATAAGGGAAAAGGTTAACAAAAAATGATGAAAAACCTTGGAATCACCCAAAATCTAGTTTTTCCATGTTAACATGTGGTCTTTTACCTAATTTTGATGAAAAATTGTTGTTTTGTAACATTTATAATTTTTTAGTTAACCCTTTCCCCCATGAGCATATTGTGAAAAATGGCCATTTTCACTGAAAAGCCTCCTCTAACAAGTTCAAACTGCTATGAAACTATGAGAAATGCTTCAATACTAATCAAACTTGGCACAAATGTTGACTGGACCATTGCCTTTGTAACGACATGCTCAGTCTTAAATTTCCTGTTACCATGGCAACGAGGGGACATCTCAAAATTGCCAAAAATCACTTTTTTGCCTCGATTTTTTCCATCAAAATTTACTTCAAAGTGCTGCAACTTCTCAAGGGATTGAGATAGAGTCAAAGGCTTTTCAGCGTTGGTTACACGTTACCTTATGACCAACCTGGGTTCATTTTAAGCCTCTCAAAAGTCCAAAATTTTCTTGGCGATGAGGGGGACTCCGCCCCCCTTCAAACCCCCCAAACAGAAGGGGGCACATCCCCCTTCTGGCAACCCCCTGATGTATTATTTGGATGGGGGACGGCGCCGAAAAAATGGTCACTTTTTTTTACAACATTTCTCAAACGAAAAACAGTGTTTGGGGTCTAAATAGGACATTTTTTTCACTGTTTGAGGCCTCAAAAGGGGGGGGGGTCAAAAAGCCGTCGAAACACGCTTATATAAGGGAAAAGGTTAACAAAAAATGATGAAAAACCTTGGAATCACCCAAAATCTAGTTTTTCCATGTTAACATGTGGTCTTTTACCTAATTTTGATGAAAAATTGTTGTTTTGTAACATTTATAATTTTTTTAGTTAACCCTTTCCCCCATGAGCATATTGTGAAAAATGGCCATTTTCACTGAAAAGCCTCCTCTAACAAGTTCAAACTGCTATGAAACTATGAGAAATGCTTCAATACTAATCAAACTTGGCACAAATGTTGACTGGACCATTGCCTTTGTAACGACATGCTCAGTCTTAAATTTCCTGTTACCATGGCAACGAGGGGACATCTCAAAATTGCCAAAAATCACTTTTTTGCCTCGATTTTTTCCATCAAAATTTACTTCAAAGTGCTGCAACTTCTCAAGGGATTGAGATAGAGTCAAAGGCTTTTCAGCGTTGGTTACACGTTACCTTATGACCAACCTGGGTTCATTTTAAGCCTCTCAAAAGTCCAAAATTTTCTTGGCGATGAGGGGGACTCCGCCCCCCTTCAAACCCCCCAAACAGAAGGGGGCACATCCCCCTTCTGGCAACCCCCTGATGTATTATTTGGATGGGGGACGGCGCCGAAAAAATGGTCACTTTTTTTTACAACATTTCTCAAACGAAAAACAGTGTTTGGGGTCTAAATAGGACATTTTTTCACTGTTTGAGGCCTCAAAAGGGGGGGGTCAAAAAGCCGTCGAAACACGCTTATATAAGGGAAAAGGTTAAATGACGGTGATATTTATTAATTTTATTAAAAAATATGAATGATCGCTTGTTTTGATAATGAAAACAAACAATTCTTGTAGGAGAAAAAGTCCAACCATCCATCCATATTTCTGTTACTTAGTGCGAATTTATATTAGACCTGGCTTTGTAAATTGTAAGCGGCAGCCATTTTTTAAAGTTGTGTATTTCATGGGAGGAAAATAATTGTGTAAGATTCAGAGGGATATAATTTGGATTTGTTAGTCATACACATTTTTAAAAGAAAGAAAACTTATTTGAGGATTGTAACAGACAAAAAATAAGTGTTGACAGATGTGAAAACATTCAGAAAAGGAGCTAGGAAAATGGAAAACTTGGAAACCTGCTCAAGAACGCTGGGTTGATTTAACTAATTCTTCGAGTTATGGCTGTCAATGCTTTCAATTTTTCATAAAGCATACGGCAGTTATTGCTCGTAGGATACTTTAATATGCCCAAATGTCATCAAGAGCAGTTTTGCATGGGGAAGGAATGTATTTTTGAGACTGTCAAAATGAAACAAAAAAACGAAATTTGGTGATTGGAAATTCATGAATTTGAATGAATAGAAGTAAGTTTTCTTCTTTTTATTACTTTTGACATTTAAGTTATTTATCAATTTCAGTTTTGCTTTTTCTTTAAACAGCCTGACATTGTCAGAATTGTCAGCAAAAATAAAATTGAGGTACCACATGGGGAAAATCTTAAAAAAGTAGTTTCGTCATTGAAAAGAGTGAAATTATATTTTGATAATTTTCACTGTGAAATTACCAAATATAATTTTCACGGATAAATCAGTAATCCACTGAAAAGCATAAAATAAAAACTACGTAATGCCACATGACATCTTTTACAATGATAATATGTTAACTTACAATGTTATAATTATACCCCCAAAAACGAAGTTTGGGGGGGGGGTATATAGGAATCACCCGGTGGTCGGTCGGTTGGTCGGTCGGTCGGTCCAGACGTCCGTTGCATTTTCCTTGTCCGGAGCATAACTTGAAGACTTATGGTTGGAATTCAATATAACTACCTACAATGGTCAAGCACATTGAGAGAAAGTGCAGTGCACAAGAACCATAACTCTATCTTGACTAATTACAGAGTTATTGCCCTTTGTTACTTTTCCTTGTCCGGGGAATAACTTGAAAACTACTGGTTGGAATTCAAAACAACTTCATACAATTGTCAAACACAATAAGGGGAAGTGCAGTGCACAAGAACCATAACTCTATCTAAAGTAATTACAGAGTTATTGCCCTTTGTTGCTTTTTTTTGTCCGGACCATAACTTGAAGACTAATAGTTGGAATTCAATATAACTACATACAATGGTCAAGCACATTGAGAGGAAGTGCAGTGCATAAGAACCATAACTCTATCTTGACTAATTACAGAGTTGTTGCCCTTTATTACTTTTCCTTGTCCGGGGCATAACTTGAAAACAACTGGTTGGAATTCAAAACAACTTCATACAATTGTCAAACACAATAAGTGGAAGTGTAGTGCACAAGAACCATAACTCTATCTAAAGTAATTACAGAGTTATTGCCCTTTGTTACTTTTCCATTGTTTTTTTTTGTCTGGACCATAACTTGAAGACTAATAGTTGGAATTCAATATAACTACATACAATGGTCAAGCACATTGTGAGGAAGTGCAGTGCATAAGAACCATAACTCTATCTTGATTTATTCAGAGTTATTGCCCTTTGTAACTTTTCCTTGTCCGGGGCATAACTTGAAAACTACAGGTTGGAATTCAAAACAACTTCATACAATTGTCAAACACAATAAGGGGAAGTGCAGTGCACAAGAACCATAACACTATTTAAAGTAATTACAGAGTTATCGCCCTTTGTTACTTTTCCATTGCTTTTTTTGTCCGGACCATAACTTGAAGACTAATGGATGGAATTCAATATAACTTCATACAAAGGTCAAGCACATTGAGAGGAAGTGCAGTGCACAAGAACCATAACTCCATCTTGAATTATTATAGAGTTATTGCCCTTTGTTACTTTTCCTTGTCCAGAGCATAACTTGAAAACTACTGTTTGGAATTCAATACAACTTCATACAGTTGTCAAGGACATTAAAAGGAAGTGCAGTGCACAAGAGCCATAACTCCATTTTGACAAAATTCAGAGTTACTGCCCTTTGATACTTTTCCTTGTCAGGATCATAACTTAAAACGTACTGGTTGGAATTCAAAACAACTTCATACAATGGTCAAGCACAATAAGAGGAAGTGCAGTGCACAAGAACTATAACTCTATCTTTAGTATTTATAGTTATTGCCCTTTGTTACTTTTCTTTGTCTTTCTGGACTTATTACAGAGTAATTCAATTAACTTCATCA